TCTTCTTCTTTAAACCCGCTATCTCCTTACCAGTACCAGTTCAAGCACTGATTTTTTCACTGAAGGTCTCCAATTTCGCCGGAGGTGTGCACGGACATCAAGCGATCGTTTCTTTCTTGCCGCTAGTCACTACGGTAGATCATGGAGCTCTTCCCTGGTCGACCTGAACAACGCCATTTGCTGCTTACTCAGCATCAGTGATCCGCGCGCATGCGCCAGGCAGGGGCGTTGTCCAATGTGCTTGCGAGCGTATTCTACCGGGCGAGTTGGCAGACCTGCAGAGGAACTGTCAGCCTCCAGTACCTTCTGTAAGTAAGTGTGCACATTTCCAACTGGCTATCTTGCTGTTGATATGCACGAAGAGCAACTTGCCAGAGTCTGCGCGGTGTTACGCGAGCCTTGCGGGGCACTCAGTCAAATGGGCCTTCATTGTTTGTCCCCCCAGGTTGTAGCCTGATTACCAAAGCCTGCCAATGAAACCACAACCATGTGCAATAATCTAATTACATCCTTGTTGAAGACAATACATGGTATCTAGCAGCCCATTAGCTACTACTTTCAATTTGTCTATGGTAGCCTATCTACAACATAGCCATGAACATCAGAGTGACTGTAACAATAAATGCAGTGTTGCCAGAAGCTGTTAAAAATAGTGGAAACAAGTGGAAAAATCATTTCTTCAAAATGAAAGGGGGATATAGGGATGGCTTGAAGCACCAAAAAGGAAGAAACAAGGGGTCATTACACAGCAAAGTTGCACAAAGCTACATGACACCATCCCTATATCTTTGTTTATTGTTTATAAGCAAAGTTTAATATCAAACAATATCAAACAAAGATATAGGGATGGTGTCATGTAGCTTTGTGCAACTTTGCTGTGTAATGACCCCTTGTTTCTTCCTTTTTGGTGCTTCAAGCCATCCCTATATCCCCCTTTCATTTTGAAGAAAAGATTTTTCCACTTGTATACATACACTTGGCCTAAAACTGATCCTGCAGACTATCTGGCTGACAGTCTAGATAGATGCCACATCACGTAATCTGCAAACAAAAAGCCTCCAAACTAAAACGAAAACAGTGTTTGTTTTACACACGGCACCAATCACTCGTGTATTGTATGCCCACATTTAGTACCAAGTGCAACCATATAATGTTATAGCAGGGTTTCATCTATGAGTTTTGTAACGCCAGAGGAAAGAGTAAGGGGAGGAAGAGTAGAAGAGAAGGTTATGGGAGAGAGTGGGACGAGAGTACCAGCCACAAAAACTCAACTCGCAGTAAGGTCGAGAATGTCCGGGAAGCCTTACTTCCAAACAACAGGAGGTAATTAAAAAGTAGGCAGCAAGTTTTTAATTGTCAATGTACATTCAAAAATCAAAATTTATGACGGGAAGTGGTGAGAAAGTTTGGGGGAAAGCTTCTGGCGCTGTAGATGAAACCCTGATAGCACTTTAGCCAAATAATGCCTATGTATGTAAACTGAGCGAGAATCGGCTCATGTGCAAATTAATTGCGGCTACTAATTTTAGCATTTTTGCACAGATCATTTTTGGCGTATACTAATTTTAGCGATTTTTGTCCCCACATCATTTGTGCATGAAAGTGTGATGACGACAACCAGTCAAATATTTTGTGCCTGTATTCAATTTCATCCTTCTTCTCTTGTGCTCCAGCTGACCCAAAGTAGAACCACAAAGCTTTGCAATTTGTTTCCAGACTCCAGAGTAAAGCTCCAGTAGAGTATAAACACTATAGCGCATGTGACTAACCGCACGGATATACTAGGAATGGCACTATTGGCGTGCACAGTTAATAGTAATCTACAGCTACTGATGAGTGCATGCTAAGCTCTTTTGGTGTGGTCCAACTGTTTGTATGAAGGTATATAGGCATAGGCCCATAGTAACCTAATGCATTTTGGTGAGTGGGAGTGAGCCAACTGTTGAATTGGCAATGTGTTGAGCATACAGGCACATGACGGTTGATTCAAGTTTTCAGTCACGAAATCTGCTGGTCAGCATTTTGTATTGCTCGCGTAGCCCTACCCTAGCCCTGTAACCCCATGTTCATAATGGGATTGGGTATATTATATATATAATATTCTGTGACTCAAAACTTAGTCTTGAAGTGGCAAATGTTTTCATGCATGCCTTAAGCTGTCTGGTGGAACGTGGTTTCTCTTCCATATTATGTAGACACCTGGTAATGCTACAATATTCATCGTTCGTAATCCCATCGATGCAATCGTGTCATTCTGGAAGTGGCAGCTCATCTATAGAAAGATGTACAAAACGGAGGAAAATTTACACGTCGCCAATCCACCAGTCAAATACTTCCGTCAGTTATGTTTGCTTATCAAGTGCATTCATATATACCCTAATGCAGGTAACAACAATGTATGGAACAATTGGATTAGAGGACAGGTTAATTATTGGACAAACCTCATTAAGGGCACGCTCTCTAACACCAACAAACCACTTCTGATTGTGACCTACGAAGACATTAAGAGCAACAGAACCAGAGAGGTGACCAACAAAGAGTTGTTTGTTTTTTAAATGGGCAGTTTTTTGCAGGTGTTTCGAATGCTAGATTTTCTACATGTGAAGTACTCTGCAGAGGAAATTATCGAAAAATTCAAAGATGACCAACTGACAATGTTTAAGAGACCGAAAGCAAGGGATTTTGACCCCTACACACCTCCACAGAGGAACAGAGTGAGAACCCGCCTCAAACAGCTCTCGAAATCACTTCACCACAAGACAATGGTCGAGATAATGGAACGCTATTTATTAGAACTTTGATAGACTCTGTTATGACTTTCATTAGTCACGTAAAAGGATTGTCCTGTTTTGCCGCGGTAGCTCACACGTCTCTACTAACAACGTTGTATCTGCACAGTCTCATTTAGAAGAGAAAGGTAGAGGGTTTTATCTGTAATTAACGTCACCTATTTCCTGGTAAAGAGTTTCAAGAGGTTCGGCACTCAGTTTAAAGGGCATGCGGCCTAAATTTAGAAAACGTGACTATAAACTGCATTCTTTCACCGGGCCTTATTGCTAAATTTTATATATATATATAGCCATTTCATAATGCCGCCACAATCGCTTCAAGAGACCCATGTGCAGGTTGAAAAATTTTAGGAAAACAATAATTATGTATAGCAATCATACATCAGTTGAAAATAAAAACAAGAGGGTGTTCATAGAATGTGTCGGGTCTTGCACTCAGTTGTGGGCTGGAGGTGGAGTTACTGCATGGTGAATGGAGGGAGGGAAAGGAAAATAATGCCATAAGTCCATAAAGTCATATATACAGGAAGATCTTTTGGCAAGAAATGCACTGTCTGTCCTACATAGTACATGTCAGTAAATCTAGAGTGCACCCGTTTCCAGAGATATTGTACATGTCTGTAGCGTACAACCGACACTGCACATACCGTAATGTTCTACGTGATTCTAAATCTGCGAAAGACACGCGAAATATGTGGAACTGCTCGCTTTTCTCGCGAGGCATTCGTTTTAGTACCCACAGCAGAGAGCTCCATAACAGTCAGTAGTACTGAAGAGTAACATGATTGCACAGTGCATTGATTCTTTGCCGTAAAACAGGACAAAAATATATATCAGCAAAGATAGCACTATCAAACGGTAGCTACCAAAAACGACTTTTCCAGTTTTCCTCCCCTTTCTCATAGCCGGTCATACCTATTTTATGTACACTAGAGAACGTACCATTGTGATTGTGAGCGATGGTGAGGGCGAGGGCAGGGTTGTTTCCCCCGGCAGGGTGGGCCACTGCAGCCACAAGCAGCTGCCACGACGGAGCTCCGAACCTCCGAGTGTCGTAAGCCTTCTTCAGCCACTGGGTCAGGACCTCCCTGAGACGGCTCTGAACATCGCGACAGTCTGCCTCGATGGTGTCAAGGGTACCAGGATGGAGTCTCAGGGCCAGACCCAGACCTTTCCACTCCGCAGCAACATTGCAGAGCTCAGAGTGGACTTCAAACAAGTCATTGATGTCTGGAGGACAAGATGAGAAGTGAGAAGGTAAAAGGTACAGTTGTACATAGGAAATTGGCAAGCGAAGGACTTTCTATAATTTATATATGTGACGCCTCTTTCGGGCTCATACTGTAATGTTCTACTACATACGGGATTCTAAATACGCACAAAACACGCGCGAACTATTTAACTGCTTGCGCTTGTCGCCCACAATGTGTTGCATTCCTCTAGTACAATGAAGGAGGACGGAAGAAACATACCTAGTGTGATGGGTTGTTGTGTACTATCTGAAGAGGAGGTAGGTGGGGGCTGCTGGGGTTGTGTAGTGGTGACTGGTGCTGCCTCTGACACTGTGGACTGCTGCTGTTTGCCTGTATAATATACAAGTGGAAAAATCATTTCTTCAAAATGAAAGGGGGATATAGGGATGGCTTGAAGCACCAAAAAGGAACTAACAAGAGGGTCATTACACAGCAAAGTTGCACAAAGCTACATGACACCATCCCTATATCTTTGTTGTTATACGGCTCTGCAATAGAGGTTGTCTTGCATGTATATTTAGCTCAAGGGAAAGTTTGCTTATAAACAATAAAACAAAGATATAGGGATGGTGTCATGTAGCTTTGTGCAACTTTGCTGTGTAATGACCCTCTTGTTTGTTCCTTTTTGGTGCTTCAAGCCATCCCTATATCCCCCTTTCATTTTGAAGAAATGATTTTTCCACTTGTTTCCACTATTTTTAACTGCTTATGACAACACTGCATTTTCAGTCACCTGATGTTCATGGGTATGTTGTAGAGATAACTGATGAAAGCAGTAGCTAATGGGCTGCTGCGCCTAAGCGGGGTGTACGCAGTGTCTCCAACAAGGACGCAATTAGGTTGTGGCACACGGTGGCGATTTCATGGGCAGGCTTCAGTAACCAGATTACTATTAGCTACCCGGGGACAAAGAATGAAGGCCAATTTGTACGCCTCGCGTAACCCGGCGCAGACTGCCACCTGCAAATCAACAGCTAAAAGCAAGGTAGCCAGTTTAAATGTGTATACTGACTTACAGAAGGCGCTGGAGGATGAGAGGTCCTCTGCAGGCATCCTGGCTTTTTCTCGTGGAGCGAGACTATGTAATGCGCGCGCACCGCATTGGAAACGCCCTCCTCGGCGCATGCGGCTCACTGATGCTGAGTTAGCAGCAAAAATGGCGTTGTTCAGTGACTACCGTGGAGGAGCTCAACGATCTACCGTAGTGACTTGCGGCATGAAAGAGACGATCGCTTGAT